GCAAGGCTCCCATCCAGAGCAACACCGCTTCGGTGGCTCAGTCGCTCCCCGGCCTACCCCGCCTCCCTCTCGGCCCTGCAGCGCTCTCTCCGTTGCCTAGGTAACTGCCCGCCGCTTTACCTTCCAGCCGGGCTGGCAAGCTCGAACCAATCCGGGCCGCTGCACCACGTGATCCTCCCCGGCGGAGGCGACGCTCAGAAACGCGAGGAGCGGCGGCCAAGAAAAAAGGATGGGGCTGGTTCTTCTTCCTCTCCTTTTATCTAAGGCAGAGCGGGTAATATTTGGGTAGGAAGAGACCGTGAGTCGCCTTGAGAAGAATGTCTTAGTTTTACAGGCTTGCGAGAGAGGAGGGAATTCCACTGAAGGATAAGCATTGGCAATACCCAGCTGACCTTGGCTGGAACGGAAAAAGGTAATTAGATGTGGACCTGCTTAGTATGGGGATGGGGGACCACCAGGAAATCCCAGTTAAAAGTTAAAAAAAAACAGAAGAAGGCAGTGCTGCATTGTTGCCAAGAAAACTGCATGGATGTATTCCTGTGATCACTAGAAATTCAGCTTGATGAAGAAGACTTTTCTTTAGCCCTGACTTGGGTCTTCTGGAAGTTGTCTGGACAAACGATGGAAAATAACACTGGGGATTGAAGATCATCCCTTGGCAATCTTGTTGTGCATTCCTATGCGCTACAGAAGGTGAAAGGCTATCAGCTCTTTTTTCAGCTGAGGTTTGTTCACATGAAAAGACGGGGCCACAGAAGCAGTCCATGAGATTAATTTGGGTTATGTGTTGTATAAACCAGAAAATTGGGATAATCGATTAGATCATGATTCAGTTTAGCAACGAATAAGGGTGTTATGTGAATGGTCTCTGTGCTGTCTGATTCAGATGATGATTATGGAAGTGGCCCTTCTGTGCACTGGAACGATGTCCTTTCTTTGTATGTCCAAACTCAACTTAAGTGGGTTTTATTTATTATTGTTTTATTCAGTTTGGATGCCGCCCAACAGTAAAATAACATAAAAAACAACAAAATATAGAACACTGACCAAATAAGTACAAAACTAATTACAGAATAATCACAGGATGACAATCCAACAAAAAAACAAACGAAACATCATAAACAGGAGAATCCCATCCACTCTACCCCAATAGCCAGTACTTTAAGGGTTTCCAAACATCATCCGGGGGAGAGCCATACATATCTCAGGGGTGACCTCAATCCAGAGATCAGGCACCACTACAGAGAAGGTGCACTTCATGTTTGATCAGTGGTACCCAGAACACACTCACTCTGCTGGATCATACTGGATGGGCAGAAACCATGGAAGATCAGCTGCCCTGCAAGTAGCTGGATGCTATGCCATGTAGGGCTGTATAGGCAATTACCAGCACCTTGAATTGCACCCAGAAGTATATTGGCAACCAGTGCAACTTGTGGAGCAGAGGTATCACTTGGTTATGCCAAGGAAGCCCATCACTGCTTGCACCACCACATTCTGGACCAGTTGAAGCTTCCAAGTGGTCTTCAAGGACAGCCCCATGTAGAGTGCGTTGAAATAGTCGAGCCATGCGAGGACAAGGGCTTGAGTGACTGTCTGGAGGGCTAACCAATCCAGGAAAGGGTGTAACCGATGCACCAGAAGCGGCTATGCAAAGGCCCTCTTGTCCACAGCTGCCATTTGGTCTTCAAGCAGGAGCCGTGAGTCCGAGAGAACCCCCAAGTTGCGCATCACTCCTGACTGAGGAAGTGCAACCCATTCAGGAATAGAGATGGAAAATCCCAGGATCTGGGAAGTCCCAACAGCCACA